TAGGGCCAGCTGTGTTAGGACAAGGGGAAATGGTTTTAAACTAGAACAGGGTAGGTTCAGGCTAGAGGTAAGGAAGAAATTTTTTACAATAAGAGTGGTAAAACACTGGAACAGGTTGCCCAGAGAGGTAGTGGAGGCCCCATCCCTGGAAACATTCAAGGCCAGGTTGGATGGGGCTCTGAGCAATCTGATCTAGTTAGCAGTGGCCCTGCTCACTGCAGGGGGGTTGGACTAGATGACCACTAGTGGTCCCTTCCAACCCTAAACATTCTATGATTCTATGATTCTATGATTCTATAAATCTGAAAAAAAGCTTGGTTTTGCTTCTTGCTGTCAAAGTGTCTTGACAGCAGTATTATTCATCAGGAAAATTGATTTTTGGAAACAACTGATTTCTGAAATACTTTATTATGTTCTACATCATTGATAACTACCGCTAGGATGAGGTCAGAAATTCCTTGCTGTGTTTAATCCCAGGAGTTGCTTTATACAATATTCTGTTGTTGCTAAAATAGAGTAATTTAATCTATGTCTGTCTTTCAGCACTAATGGCTTCTGTTGAAACAATTCATGCCTGAGATGTATGGACCTGACTTATGAAAATACGAGAAGATATTGTACAGTATATTTTAAATCTATGAAATTCATAGTTCTGATGCTTTTGGCCACAGAGCATCATTTTATCACTTCCTGGAAAATGTTTATTCCAAGAGAGCTTTAAATGGCCCACATGTACACTCAACAACCTTCAGATTGTTCTCCTGATACCAGCTTGCTGCTATGATTTCTGTGCACATAAAATAAAGGCTCTTTTTCATGTGCAGCCTACAGTCAGAACTTTATTTGATATGCCTCAGAGTTTAATGTTCTTTTAATTATGGATCATATGAGTTTACTTTTTTGCTTCTTTTAGATGCATAACCGGTTATTACATATCACCACTAAACCTTGTTTTACACTTTTTAAACACTACGATTTATTGTTTTAACATTTTATTTGTAAAATTTTTATATATATATATACATATAGATATATTTAAAATGTGCCATTTTTATTATTGCTTAGTAAAGTATGTCCTGTTTCTGCTGTAATTATTTCTTGGTCAGGTTGCAATGTCAGCAGTTACTGCCACACTTCTGTCAACATACACATTAATGTTAGTGGTTACTTTTTTCTTAAATAAAATGGAGTGTCGGTATTTTGAGGTACTGGGCTTTTCCTTCGTTGGGTTAGGGTGTGTACAGCAATAAGCAGGTTTTCAATCCAGTACTTAGTTTGTGTACAAATGTAATTATGTTCATTGTGTATATATTATACAATGAGCACATACGATGTAAGTATAAGAAGCCACTTATTATTGTTCGAATACAGATGTTCATACCCCATTTCTTTTATATCATATTAAATAAATGTTGATGTTCTTAAGGACTTGTATGGTTAGTATTTCTTCCAGCAAACAGATGTCACACTGTGTTCCACCTTTTGCTGTGGGGAATGCAACAATTCTTATCTCATTGGCGACATCACCTGTCAACCAGAGTAGCAGTGACAAACTCTTAAGAGATTCCAGTCTTCCTCTACGGGAAAGAATAAGGCTGCAACATAGAACAAAAAGACAACCCGAGACTGAGACGCAAGAAATACAGGTTCAGCTCCCGACTCTCCCAGACTTGTATCGTGATGTTGGAACAATCACTTAGTCATTCTGTGCCGCCATGCCCTGCCTGTTTACCTGAGAGGTAATAGCCTGTCTTGCTGGGGTGTGGTGAGTAGTCATTCGACATTTGCAAATGCTGAATGCCACGTTCAGTGGGGTTAAGGAGAGAAGTACAATGATTCCTTGAGGCTTTGACATCTGCAAAGCATCTTCCAGAAACTGAAAGAAAACCTGAAATAATTTGTCAAGTGTCATCATGCTACAGATGTTACTAGCTTCACTTTTCCATCTCACGCAGCTGTCTGAATTTGCCTGAGACAAAAGAGGTTTAGAAAAGAATGATGAAAAATGGAAAGATTTAAGGGAAAGCTTTTGAATCTAGGATGTAAAGCTAAGAAGTCTTTTACAGGTTCAGGCAGCTGCTGGGTGCTTCAGTGCACGTGTGTGCCATAAGTGGTAAGGCAAGTTTCATAAGACGCCGACTGCCAGCTCCTGTCGCGCTTTTTTTATCATACGAATTGTATCCTGGTCAAGTTAATATTGCCGTACTAGAGACTGTGTAACTCATTGTGCTTTTCCGTGGGGGAGTGCCTGAGACTGACGCACAGTTTGAAATTAACTCTTTATCGTTGCCCCCCTAAGGAGGAGTTTGTGTTCGTTGTACTTTTCTGCCACTCCCAGCTCTGCTGCCAGTTCTTCCTGGGGCTCTTTGCCACAAAGACACCGAGTACACTGGCTGTCTCCTGTCGTTTTGCCATTTCCTTTGAAAAGTGAAGAAATAGGAAGCATAATTTAGTGGCAGAGCTTGGAGGGTCATAGTGAAGGAGGCGGCTGAAGGAAAGAAGATGAATCATGATGCAGGCAGACAGCATCCAGCCGAAGGTTTGACCAAATAGCCTTTCTCCCTTTTTTGGAACAGCAGTCCCAAATTAGCTCATCCTTCCATCCAAAACACAGAGCGAACAAGAGGAACGTGATTCTTATTGCTCAACCCGCTGAGGTTTAAGTTCAGCGGCATTGCTGGAACACCTGGGGCAAAGCAAATACGACACACCCCGTTCTCTCCCTAACCCTTCTGGAGAGAGCTGTTCAGCTGTCAGGCTTTGCAATCTCTTTCTGTCCTTCCTGCCAAGAAAAGAATTGCAACCAATAAAGGAAAGAATGACTAAGTGGGTTTTGGACATTTATAGATCTTGTCTGTGTTTGAAGCAGTTGTCAGCTTGGTGTATCTGCAAAGTACGTGCAGTTTATACTGAAGCTGGGGGAGGGTGGGAGAATTAGCAAGTTTTTGCTGGTGTAACTGTTGGCAAAGACGGCAAACGTAAATGATGCAGGAATGTATTAATGCTCGTAGACTATAATTTAACTTCCTGTGGGCACTTGCAGCAAAGATTTGCAGTTTCATTGGGTGCTCTATTTTTTTGTCTTATGGAAAAAATGTACGGCTTTGTGTTACCACAGAGCATCTACTGTCTTTTACCTCATCAGAATAACTCATCCCAGTGATCACACTCCTGAGAAACAGAAATATCAGAATGCTGATATTGTCAGCCTTCAAACATCTATTTTAAGTTTGTATCTAGGATATTTTTATATTCCTGACTGATTGCTTTATTGGCTATTGCACTGACACTTGTATATATGGAACATGTGCTTTTTTTCAAAAGCAAGAGTCCTTAGGAGTAATGCAACACATTCTCTACAGATGTTCATGCTTTTCAGAACCAATTACATCTATTTTTGTCTTTTGTTCACCATTTGCATTGTTCCAAGACTACTAGAGAATGTGATTCTTTTTAAGTCCCTTAATAAAGTGACATTACTCAAAAAGTTATAGTCGGTGTCTTGGCAGTTTTTGTGTGTCGTGGACTGGCTCAAGGAGAAAGACCTCACTGGGCAGTTGAAACACAAACCTTGTTTATATTATTACTGAGGGGGGAAAAAGTAGTCTGCAGTTAATATTTCCTCATAAATATATCTGTCATAAAATGAATCCAGTAAGGTTCTATTTTCAGGAAATCAGAAAAAATTTAAACAGTTCATTTCTATCTAAATCACTTTAATTGGACAGTCTGGGAAAGAATTATTACCCACCCTACTGGATCCAGTAGACATAGTAACCAGGAGTACATAGATGAAAAACGTTAATGGATTACACTGTTAGTAATAGATCTACTAAGTTCTCTAGTACTTAGGCTGGTGGCTTAAGTTGTATCCTGGTTGAGTAAAGCAGCAGAGTGGAAGATCTTTAATCACTGGTGGTGCTGGATAACTCTTACCCTAAACTTTTTGTTATATTATAACAATAAGGGGGGTGGGAGGGGGTGTCTTTTCTAATAAAATAAATAGTACTCGTTCAGATCTCAAAGTGGGTCATCATGTCTTTTCTGCACAATACTTTTTTGTCCCTGTGATCCTGGATTTTGCTATACTTAAGTTATTCTAGGGTAGTTTAATCTTATTTCAGTTTGAATCCTCAGTTAAAATGTTATTTTCCATCCTTTGGGAAGCTGACATTTAAATGGTCAATGAACAAATTGCCTATACCTGGCATTAATAATATATCTGAAACAATTTAACTTTTTTAAGGATGCACATGAAGATAACAAAGCAACATCTGGCCTTCATTTCTTCTAAAGAACATTATATATACTTGCTGTTATATCCTTGGAGCTGTTTAGCTTGTCCATATGGGAACACTGAAGAAGCTGCTACAAAATAAAATGGAATATACTGATGGCTGAAAGCAAATGTCTGGCCCAAAATGAAGGCTAAAAGCAGCTGCTTTCTGAACTTGACACGCACAACTTGTTAACCAGCTGTTCCAGATGTGTCAGTATTCAAATGTTCCTTGTGGAATGAAGTTTTTGGTATTTTTTTGTGATGTTTCTTCATTCTGTCATATGACAAAAAATGTTTTTAAGGTCTGTCTACATATTGTCTAGCTGTTGTTGCGAAACTGCAAGCAACTCTTGATTGTAGCTATGGGTAAGTAACGTCACCACAGTGGCTGCTAATTGGCTCACGTGGCAGTCTTGCTATGGATGTGCTGAAGAACCCTTATTTAGGCTGGGTTGGGTTCTGTTTGGAATAAAAGGAAAAGCTATAAGCAAACGGTGCTGTTTCCAGTGGACTGCTATAGAGTCTTGCAGGACAAAACCAGATGTGATCTCATTAACTTCTTTATTGCTGAAACAAAACCTAAAATAAGGAATTAATTTTTTGTCAAATTCTATCCAGATCCCTGTTCTATGGAACAGGAATACTTCAAAGAATTTTGGTCTAAAAATGGAAACACCCTCTTCCTCTTGAAGGTGAAATGAGTACTGTTAAAAAAAAAGAAAAAAAAAAGCAGACCCTGCAGGTTTAACTTTATCCATAGAAAATGGCCTAGAGATTTGGTCAATGAAAACTTCCAGCAAAGTACTCGATCCTCATCTGTTGTCAGTTGGTAGATTTCCTGAATTGCAGTGAGGTGACTGGCACTGTCCAGGACTCTCTTCTGCAACATTAAAGCCACTCCAGCCCAAGGTGTAAAATACTCTGTATTCCTTGTATGGAGAAAAAATGCCTTCTCCATGCAACAGCTCTGTGTCCCTACATAAGGAGCTGAATGTAGGCCACTGGTTTCTTGCCTGACATCGCTAAAACCTGCAGGTGCTTAGCATCTTGAAAGATCAAGCTCAAAGCATGTCTATATGAGACACCCAACACTGCAAAGTAACTTGCATATGAATCTCCCTTATTTTCAGCAATAGATTCTATTTAGAAGAAAAATGATGGGTTTTTTTCAAAGTACTAGCCACATTGCCAGAAATCAAATAATTAGTAGGTACAAACAAATGTATAAGAATTTGAGAAAATTGTCATTAATTGATGAGTACATTTCAAAGTGATTGGGGAAAAAAAAGCTGCAAAATTCAGCAACTCTCAACGTGCAAAAATCACCTCTTCACAATATTAATTTCTGCTGAGTCTTGACACTGATTACACATGTAGTCGACTGCTCTGTATTGTGCAACTTCTTGGTAAAATCCCAAGTCAGCAAGAATGTGGAGGCTGTTCCAGATGTTTTAGCTTTAAAGATAAATTATTTTTAATTTTTTTTTTAATATTTTCATGCTCCTCCACCAGTCT